GGTGAGGATGTTGATGGTGGTGGTGAGGATGTTGATGGTGGTGGTGAGGGTGTTGGTGGTGGTGGTGAGGAACTTGGTGGTGGTGGTGAGGAACTTGGTGGTGGTGGTGAGGAACTTGGTGGTGGTGGTGAGGAACTTGGTGGTGGTGGTGAGGAACTTGGTGGTGAGTGGTGAGGAACTTGGTGGTGGTGGTGAGGATGTTAGTGGTGGTGGTGAGGATGTGGTGGTGGTGGTGAGGATGTTGGTGGTGGTGGTGAGGGTGTTAGTGGTGGTGGTGAGGATGTGGTGGTGGTGGTGGTGAGGATGTTGGTGGTGGTGGTGGTGAGGATGTTAGTGGTGGTGGTGGTGAGGGTGTTGGTGGTGGTGGTGAGGATGTTGTTGGTGGTGGTGAGGATGTTGTTGGTGGTGGTGAGGATGTTGTTGGTGTGGTGAGGATGTTGATGGTGGTGGTGAGGATGTTGATGGTGGTGGTGAGGCTGTTGATGGTGGTGGTGAGGGTGTTGGTGGTGGTGGTGAGGATGTTGGTGGTGGTGGTGGTGAGGATGTTGGTGGTGGTGGTGGTGAGGATGTTGGTGGTGGTGGTGAGGATGTTGGTTGGTGGGTGAGGATGGTGGTGGTGGGTGGTGAGGATGTGGTGGTGGTGGTGGTGGTGAGGATGTTAGTGGTGGTGGTGAGGATGTTGGTGGTGGTGGTGAGGATGTTGGTGGTGGTGGTGGTGGTGAGGATGTTAGTGGTGGTGGTGGTGAGGGTGTTGGTGGTGGTGGTGAGGATGTTGTGGTGGTGGTGAGGATGTTGATGGTGGTGGTGAGGATGTTGATGGTGGTGGTGAGGATGTTGATGGTGGTGGTGAGGGTGTTGGTGGTGGTGGTGGGGGTGAGGATGTTGGTGGTGGTGGTGAGGCTGTTGGTGGTGGTGGTGGGGTGAGGATGTTGGTGGTGGTGGTGAGGAACTTGGTGGTGAGTGGTGAGGAACTTGGTGGTGAGTGGTGAGGAACTTGGTGGTTGGTGGTGAGGAACTTGGTGGTGAGTGGTGAGGAACTTGGTGGTGGTGGTGAGGATGTTAGTGGTGGTGGTGAGGATGTTGGTGGTGGTGGTGAGGATGTTGGTGGTGGTGGTTGTGAGGATGTTAGTGGTGGTGGTGGTGAGGGTGTTGGTGGTGGTGGTGAGATGTTGTTGGTGGTGGTGAGGATGTTGTTGGTGGTGGTGAGGATGTTGATGGTGGTGGTGAGGATGTTGATGGTGGTGGTGAGGATGTTGAGTGGTGGTGGTGAGGGTGTTGGTGGTGGTGGAGAGGGTGTTGGTGGTGGTGGTGGTGAGGATGTTGGTGGTGGTGGTGAGGATGTTGGTGGTGGTGGTGAGGATGTTGGTGGTGGTGAGGATGTTGGTGGTGGTGGTGAGGATGGTGGTGGTGGTGGTGAGGATGTTGGTGGTGGTGAGGATGTTAGTTGTGGTGGTGGTGAGGATGTTGGTGGTGGTGGTGAGGATGGTGGTGGTGGTGAGGATGTTGGTGGTGGTGGTGAGGATGTTAGTGGTGGTGGTGGTGAGGATGTTGGTGGTGGTGAGGATGGTGGTGGTGAGGGTGTTAGTGGTGGTGGTGGTGGTGAGGGTGTTAGTGGTGGTGGTGGTGGTGAGGATGTTGGTGGTGGTGGTGGTGAGGATGTTGGTGGTGGTGGTGGTGAGGATGTTGGTGGTGGTGGTGGTGAGGATGTTGGTGGTGGTGAGGATGGTGGTGGTGGTGAGGATGTTGGTGGTGGTGGTGGTGAGGGTGTTGTGGTGGTGGTGGTGGTGAGGGTGTTGGTGGTGGTGAGGGTGTTGGTGGTGGTGGTTGGTGGTGGTGGTGGCGAGGGTGTTGGTGGTGGTGGTGAGGGTGTTGGTGGTGGTGGTGAGGATGTTGGTGGTGGTGAGGATGTTGGTGGTGGTGAGGATGTTGGTGGTGGTGGTGAGGATGTTGGTGGTGGTGGTGGTGGTGAGGGTGTTGGTGGTGGTGGTGAGGATGGTGGTGGTGGTGGTGGTGAGGATGTTGGTGGTGAGGACAGGCGATTGTGGCGAGTGTGAGACTCGTAATATAAAAGGTTTTTGGGTTAGATCGCGTTATTTGTGCGTCGTAACCCTCCACCACCCGACACGGCCAATCGGTAACAAAATGTGTCACGTTGACAAATAGTTCACTACTTGAGCCCACCGGTGTGTTTGAAGAAGGCATCTACAACATTTAGCATTTGAGTAGTACGACGTTTTGCTGGACATTACATCCAGCATCATCGGGCGATTTGCCAGAATGGTGAAGCCATCCCACGTGTTTCCGGTCTTAAATATCGTTGTTGAACCCCATCAGGATTCGAGATCAATAATCAGCCACTTAGCATGTGAATCACCTGTAAGTGATTGCAATATGTGTTGTGTATTACTTAATAATACGCTTCAAGGCTGCGCTGAGTCTGTAGCTATCACAGCGATTAAAATTATTAGAATTCTTAATTTCAATTGATTCACTAATCTTGGCCAGCAATACTGTAATTAGTTTAGCATAAGACTTCAACGGTATCAAAATCAATTGGATGTCCTTGTTGGCAAGCATGCTGTGCCACTGCTGACAGCTGTGTTTGAGAGAATTTAATGTTCCTTTGGTGTTCTTTTAGTCTTACGCTGATGTTACGTGCCGTCCGTCCAATATAACACTTACCGCATGAGCCATTGATCCGATATACACCTTCTGTTGATCACTTCGGTGATTAATGTTTAGTACAAGATACTAGTTTTTGAATTTTGTGCATAATACCAAATTTCACTTTAATGTTTGGCTTTTGCAAAACACGGGCTAATTTGTTAGTAACTCCCGAGATATATGGTATTTTAATTGTTTTGATAATCTGATCACTTTCAGCAGTATTGTTGTTCAATCTCGACTTGGCATTCAATGCTCTGTTAATTTGAACATTATTGTAGCCATTCAGTCTTAGTGCTTCTTTAACATGTTTTATCTCTCTCCTTAGACTTTCACCATCTGACACTGTCTTTGCCCGATGTATGAGCGTCTTGATGAGAGAGGATTTCTGAGCTGGGTGATGATGTGAATCTGCATTCAGATAGGCATATGTGTGTGTTATTTTGCCATTTTGACCACATCCAAGCAAAATATCCAGGAATGGGAGTGTGTTGTTCACCTCCATTTCCATGGTGAACTGATTGACTAGGTTTTGCGCATTGAGATGATTTAAAAATGCATTTAGTGTATCTTTACCATGTGGCCAGACAACCAAAGTGTCATCGACATATCTAAACCAAAAAAGATGGTTTTAATATACTTGAGGCAAGTGCTCTTGTTTCAAAGTTTTCCACGTACAGATTTGCTATAGCCGGAGATAAAGGAGAGCCCATTGCTGCTTCTTACTTTTGTTTAAAGAAGTCACTTCTCCACAAGAAATAAGTTTTTATTTAGACAATGGTCAGCTAGTTTTGGAATATCTTCTGGTAAACCTGTCTTCTTTACCAGTGCATCAAGTAATTTTAGTGACTCGTTAACTGGAAACTTAGTGAACAGAGAAATTACATCAAAACTTACCAGAATATCATTGGGGTTAAGTTTAATATCTTCAATCACATTCACAAGATGTTCCGAATTTCTTATAAATGAAGATGTCCTTCCGATGTAGGGCTGTATTCGTTTAGTTACATATTTTTCTAATTTGCGACACATTTATAAATAACGCGGTTTAACCCAAAAACCTTTATTATGAATAATACTGGTCGCGAAAGCCTACGTGTTAAACTGAGTATGTGAGACTGTTGTGTGAGCATGTGCGGGAGCGGTGGTGAGGATGTGGTGGTGAGGACAGGTGATTGTGGTGAGTATGTAAGACTGCGTGTGGGGGGCAGTGGTGAAGAGGTGATGGTGAGGAGAGGGGATTGTGGTGTAAATTCTAGTGCAGGTTCCCTAAAGTCTCAACGACCATTGGCATTAAAATTTGAAGTCAATTAGAACAATAATTAACTCATTCTCACCACATGTTGCACATCTCACCCACGTAGGCTTCTGGGAGTGAATGATTACATTTGTTGTTATTTTGTGCCACGTGAACAAACAAACACAAGTCCCCACTCAATTAATTAATGACGAGTCAATAAACATTGCCTCAAAAGTAGGAAAATATAAACAATTTTCTACTAATGAATATGCTGCTTTTTTGTGACGTGTGTTTGTGCACCACTGCCAACTGTGCAGTCTCACCGAATGATTTGTAAATAAGTTGAGTCGTTATGGCACGCAGCGTCATCATTCTTGGTAAATATGTAGCCGTGCAGCACCAATGTTAGACGTACCTTTCAATCAGCCTACGGGATTATCTGACGGTAGATATTTACCGTAATCTTCTTGGTGGCCGCAGTGTTCGGTAATCTGTTAAGAGTGATTTGAGCGCGGCGCTAGCTATAAGCTACTTGTGACACTTTTAGTTGCGGCCATCGGTACCTTAACGGCGATCGCTCGAATGAATTGTTACGCGGGCCGGGATTTTGACGTAAATGTGGCTGAATTGTGTTGTTTGTAATTCAGTTCTGTATAGCTGTTGAAAAGTAAAAACGCAACACGTTTGTCCAAAACACACCGTGGCTTTTAAATTGAAAAGTAAACAACGGGCGACGTTTCTGGGCAGTGGCACTCCTCGACAACACGTTGCATTTGAAAAGACGCAAGCGTCGACTGTTGTATATTTTAGTTTTCCTTTTAAGGCCGCGTTGTTTTCGACGAATGTGTCGAGTTTGTTTTGTTATTCGTGCTTTTGCGCTACTGCAAACTTAGCGGCACCAACGAATTGTGCAAATATTGCATTGCCGCGCGTGTGTTTGCATTGTATGTGCGTGTAAATCCTTAATGTAGTGCCTTGTGAATGTCCATCTGAAATGCAAACTGTATTTTATCCACTTGATTGTAGAGTACTACATTTTTTGTGCATCTTTAATCACATCACCTAAATGTGCCCCTTTACCATCCGTGCCTTGCAGGGCTGAAACCGTGGAAGAATCATGCCCGCATGCTAGTGGCTCACCACTGACGGGGCATGAGGGATGCCCTTGGCTGTGAGGACCTGGCGCTCTAGCTCGATCAGTGCCAGCGGTGGCCACGAGTGGCTCACGCGGTGCCTCTGCATGCTACTCGAGGCAGGCGTACGGAGGCCGTCAGCATGAAGAAAATCTTTGGACTTGGGAAGCGAAAGAAGGGGCTTTCGCCGTCCGCGTCCGAGACGGGCAGCGTGATTTCTCGGTACGAGCTCAAGGACAAGGACTTGGGGAAACTGCACAAGGCTGCCGCTTCGGGGGAGCTCGAGAAACTGAAACGGCTGCTCAAGAAGGGTGACGTGAACCAGCTCGACAAACAGAACAGGTACCTAATTCTAGATGTGAAGCTTTCGTGACTGCAAGGATTCATATTCTTGGGTTTTTTTCAGTAAAGTCACATAGGTAAAAATTTTTATTAATGAAAGTAAAATAAAAAATAAAAATCACGACGTTTCAGCAATCGTGCTGTGACGGTTCCACCTGAAGACGGAAGCTTGTGTTGCCTCCGAAACGTCGTGATTTTTATTTTTTATTTAACTTTTATTAATTTTAATTTTTACCTACGTGACTTTACCGAAAAAACCTAAGAATAAGAACAGGTACCATCACGCCTCCGCCCTCACCGTTCACATTTGTACGTACGTACATATGTTGAATTTCTTTCGCACCGTACGTAGCCAACCGCGCTAATCGGAGGTGCGCGGGAATGACAACAAACTAAACACTAAAAGCAGTTCTAAAGAACTGTGTTTTCAATCTAGATTTAAAAGCGCGTAGCCCCAGTGGCTTCCTGATATCGGAAGGAAGAGCGTTCCAGACGGCTGCAGATGTGCATATGAAAGCGCATGATGCATGACCTCGTGTAAAACCACAGTAAATTGTTTACCTTCTATTAAACATGTGTATCTCTAATGATAGTAGGTTTTTCCCCTTTTTTCTGGCAACAAAACAGTTGTGTTAAGATGTTAAAACACCAAACTGAAAACTTTTACAAGGAATCATGTCTGCATTAACCACAATACTTGTGGTCAGAATGCAAACAAAAAACATACTCAGATAATATATGCATTGTCCTTGAAACTGATTGGTCCACACCAGAGACAGCTTTCTTTTGAGCCTCGTCTCAAACGGTGTTAGACCAGAGGACGCCAAAAGGCGTACAGCCCAAAAACAATGCATTATCAGAGTAATGAGAGCTCGGGGTGAGCATCTACATCATGGAATCTCCTTTGCCAGTACCAAAATATGATAATAGTTTCGTCCCATTTTTTCTGGCAACAAAACTGGTGTTAAGATGTTTAAACACCAAACTGAAACATTTTACAAGGAATCATGTCTGCATTAACCACGATGCTTGTGGTCAGAATGCAAACAGAAATCATACTCTCATAGTTTGCATTGCCAGAAAGAAAGGGGAAAAACCTAATATAATAGGAGATCGCATGATGTGTATGTCTAGCTGACTGTTTCTTTCTAAGTGAAGAAAGTGAAATCAGATTACTCACAGCAACACGATTTTTTGAGACGTAATACCTTTAAGGTTGTTATTATTTTATTGCGAAGCTGCTAAATTTAATTAATTTTCTATTTTCAGAACACCCTTGCATCTGGCCTGCGCCAATGGACATTCAGACGTCGTGTTTTTCCTCCTGCAAAACAACTTTGTGAAGCTGAATTTATGCGACAATGACAACCGCTCTCCATTGATGAAGGTGAGAATTGTTGTAGGGTAATGCATTCATTAAAACATTGGGGCCCTTCAACTGTGTAACAAGTATAACCCGTAAAAACAAAGTTTTTCACAATAAATCCTTTATATGCGTGGCGGCTAGAGTCCTCTTGTCCTCTGGCTTGAGATGGCTGCCACCTATGGGTCAGATGATTGCATTGCACCATTAAGCAATTGGTAATTAAATATAATATTTTTGTCCTAAAAAGTGTAAAATTTTGGAAAAAAATTTTCACGAACATTAATTGTCACGCACAACGAGTCTGTGTGGAAAATGTCAGCTCGATTGGATCACGGGAAGTGGGTTAAAAAACGACCGAAAGATTTGCACGGTCGTAAGCAAGCAAGCAAGCGAACTTAATATAAAGGATTTAAAAACCTCACACCCCGTGGTAGGCGGTAAAGCGGTAGCGCACAGCTGACGCCTGAGACCCAAATCTCAGTCTTGCAACGGAGTAGCGGCGATGCTCTCACAATGTTAGCAAGGTCATGGTCCCGGGCCGTTAATTGACGGCACGCAAAGCCATTGTCTAAATGCGTTTGGTAAGACGGGGCGATGTGTTGCACGTCTCTCCGTTTGACACTCGTTCTTGTTTGTACTCTAATCCACGTCAACCCGCTATTGGTCATATCAAGTTTCTCAATGGCAACTTCTGTCCATACTCGACATTCTTCCTTTCAGCAGAAGTGTTGCTTATCCATGTGTAGGGGTGTTAGAGAGAGAGCCGTTATGCATGGCAGCTTATGGGAAACAAACACAGTGGGAGGGGCTACGTGAGTGCACGGGGGGTGCTCTCAACGACGTCCGCACCGGGCAGCCCGGGGCCCCACTCCTTAGCGGGGGTTGAGTATAAAAGGGGATGTGTCAGAAGGCTCGGGGGGAAATGTTAAGCTAACGAGAAGACTGAAGACATCTTAGCTAGAGCCCTGGACTCCCCTAGTTCGACGTCCTTATCAGGGCTGAACAGGATCGAGCCAGCGGCGTGGTTCCGAGAGCCAGAGCCGGTGCTCTTGTCAGAGCAGGTCTGGGACTCCGGGTACCGGGCCCGACTTACCAGTGTCGGGCCAGATAGCCTCCCCTAGCCCGTTAGTGGAGGACTAAGAGGCAGGCTAGGGTAGCTAGCGTGTGTATTCCCAGCTAGCCGGGTGAGGGGGCCGATACCCCCTCGAGTGTTATATGCCCACTGTTGTGCTGTGAAATAAACCCGTGTGCCTCCAACTCCGGCGTCAAGAGTCGTCAACGGTATTACACATGCGCCACTTGACTGCTGGTGCCTGTGTGTTTATGTGTGCGTCTTTGGGGGAGCGGTGGCGCAGCGGTTAGCGCGCCATGCTATGAACCCGGCGACCCGAGTTTGATTCCCGCTCACAGCCAACACCAGTGACGATTATCTGAACCGGTCCTGGGCCTCCCATAGGTCGACTCGGCCTCAAACGAGTACCTGGTGTAGCGGTGTGTAGCAAACATCGCCACTGGGGAGACAGAGGTGGTCGGGCGTGGTGTTGGCCACCCACCCCCTCGTGTACCATACCGGCCTTCATAGGTGCTCGCTAACAGCACTTGCCCCAACAGTCTGCTAAGACAATAAGGGGTGTCTTTGTCTGTGCGTACCTCTGTGTGTGCGCGTACCTGCGTATGTGCCTCTGTGCCCATGTACCTATGTGTGTGCGTGCATGCATGCCCGTGTGTGTGTGCGTACCTGTGGGTGTGTGTGCCTGTATGCTCGCGAACACGCACAGTGGGAGCAGTCATTCAGTTGTCAACACGCTCTAATACGAACCTGGTGACCCCAGTTCGATTCCTGCTCACGTCCAACACCAATGATGATTATGGCTCCCCATGGTCGACTCAGCCTCAAACCAGTACCCGGTACGGCGTGTAAACATCGCCGCTCGCGAGACAAAGGCCACCGGGCGTGGTGCTGGCCACCCACCCCCTCGTGTGCCACAGTGCTGCTCGTAAACTGCACTTGCCCCAAACGCCCGTTACAGGCTACACGGGGGATCTTTGTCTTTTGTGCGTTCGCTCGTCGTCCGGTTTGTCCTGCGCGTGGCCCATAGGCCGTGCAGTGCCAGCAGGAGGCGTGTGTGAAGGCCCTGCTGGAGCACAAGGCCGACCCCACCCTCGTGGACTCCAATGGCCTCACGGCTCTGCACCAGGCGGCGCTCATACCCAGCTGCCCTATCGCTCAGCTGCTGCTCCGGCACAATGCTCACATCGACGCCGAGAACAAGGTACTCTGTCCCATCCGGGAGCTAACTCCGCGGATCCTGTAAATCCGCGGCACGTTTGCAAAAGGAGAAAAAGAAGAAAGGAAAAAATCATCCAAGAATCTGCAATTAAATGTTTTTTGCTCCATCGCGGTGTATCGCACATTTTTGGGAGTTTAAAGTCATGCAACTCCGTTACTCCATGCGACGCCATTCACTGATTCAAGAGCCGAATGGCTCACAGGGCTATACCAAATAAATGAAACTGAAAAACTGATTTGCACAATAGAGAAGTGCAGAAGTTGACTGTCGACTTCAATAATCCGTGAAAAAAATCATTCATTAAAAAAATGCTAATTATAGGTGTTTTTGCTTTCTATCTCTCTATTTAAGGCCTCGACACAGAGGCATTGGGTCTCTGTGTGTCTATGTTTTGTGTCTCTCTCTGTGTGTCTCTGTTGTCTCTATCTGCTTGTGTGTCTTGTGTGTCTCCGTGTCTGTGTTTTGTCTCTCTCTCAAATTTAGTTCTATCTGACGACAGTTGCTTGTGTTGCAATCGGGTACGGGTAGCCGGGTATCGGGTAGGGTACGGGTATCGGGTACCCGGTTGCGACCTCTGCTATACCGCCTTCTGTTGGCGAGCCACGGTATGGCTGGCTCCTTGACGCCCACGGGAAAGGAGTTTCCCGATGTTCGTTCGATCCACCGACCCTTGTTGGCTCCGCGGTGCTGGATTACAGGTCACGCACGTAGCCGCCACCGGCGCCCGCCTTTTGTCGTGAGCGGATGTGAAACGTGACCCGGCGTTGGTGGCCGTGAAAGGCTCGCGGCTTGCTGTTGTCGTTCCGTAGCCATGGAGTGCACAGCACCCCAACGGCTCAGGCCTGTGCTACATTCATTGTTAATGAATCCTCTCCCATGACAGCAAGTGTCTTGTGCTTTTCTTAATGCAGCGCCAATTTGTCAGATATTTTTCAACTTGTCGGTCATGTGGTCTTTATTTTTTATACGTCACCGTATATGGCAGGGAGAAGGGATAAGTCAAAATGTATTTTTTTTTAAGATAAAAAAAACTATGATTTGGTGATGCTGGTTTGGCAGCGGATTACGGGAGCACGAATCACAAAAAGACTAAACATGTTCCTCAATAACATCGTGACTTAAAAAGGAAAAAAATATATCGAGTGTTGTTTAGATCAATTGCCTTTCGCAAATTTGGGCAGTGGCCCTTCATTTGTGTTCTCTGAAGAAGCACAATTGCCTGACCCAATTGGTGCTCGACCAGAGGACGCCAAAAGGCGTACACAGCTCAAAGACAATGCACTATCAAAGTAATGAGGGCTCGGGGCGAGCATCTACATCATTAGACCTCCTTTGCCAGTACCAAAATATAATAATAAGGGTTTCCCTTTTTTCTGGCAACACAACTGAAACCTTTTTACAAGGATTCATGTCTGCATTAACCACAATACTTGCAATCAAAATGCAAACAAAGCTGTCCCTTTGTGTGGACCAATCAGTTTGAAGGACAATGCATATATTATCATAGTGTGTTTTTTGTTTGCATTTTGACTGCAAGTATTGTGGTTAATGCAGACATGAATCCTTGTAAAAAGGTTTCAGTTTTGTTGCCAGAAAAAAAGGGGAAAAACCCTATTATTATATTGTGGTACTGGCAAAGGTGGTCTAATGATGTATAAGGGTCGTAAACTTGGCGATCAATTTCCCGTCAAGGTGAAAGCTTCCCATAGGACTGCTTTGTGAACTGCTCGTTATTTCTGGGCAATGTTGCGTGCAATTATGTTGATCTTTCTCGTTGTACGCTATCACTGTGCTGACATCATGCCACAAGGAGAGTAAGCCTGCCTCTTGGGAACTCTCGCAGAAAGCATTGCATCACTGCACGTTAGATCACTTGCCTCTGGGAAGGTGAAATCACACAATTGTGCTTCTGAGCGCTGTTGAGTTGTCCTTTATTCACACTTACAGGTTGCTGCCCTCTTGCAGAATGAACTTGTGTGTCGCTTGAACGGATGTTTGTCGAGTGGGCTGAAGCCGAATGGACGTGTGCCGCTTGTATTATGAGCAGAAGCTATCGGCATTTTTTTGCCGTGCTTGTGTCGTCCCTACCCCACACTCCCACCCTCCCTGTCTCTCCTCCCTGGCTCCTCCCCCCCCCATCTCTTGCCTATATGGCCTCTTGTTGCAGCAGCCCCTTTTGCCCACTTCAGCAATTGTTTCTTGCTGTGGTTGTCCCACCTGATGACGGACGCTTGTGTTGCGCCCGAAACGTCGTGATTTGTTTTATTTTATACCTACGTGGCTTTACCGAAAGAACCAAAGTGCATGGATCCCTGCAGTCACGAAAACTTCAAATCTAGATTGAAGCTATCATATTCTTGGTTCTTTCGGTAAAGTCACGTAGAAGGGAAACAATAAAATAATAAAAATATAAAACAATAAAATGCTCACGACGTTTCGACTGCAACACACGCAATCACCATCAGGTGTGAAATCCACAGCAAGAAAATTTGAAAAAATTGGCGTTTTTTTTTTAAAGCTATCAACTCGCTACGATTGAGAACCAAGTTTATTCATAGGTGGCTGCAACCTGCTGTCAAACCCAGGGTCTTCGGTGCCAGCTGACTGCTTTTACGTGGTGATATATATTTAATTATTTTACAGTCACCAGCCACCACTCTTCAGCATAGGGTGTTATGCCCCCTAAATACCAGCAGGACGGGCGTCGCGCGTGCAGCGATGAAATCTGCGTGCTCACCCCAAACCTGCCTTACTCCGCGCTGAAGTACGCGTGTGGTGCAGCGTCACGCCTGGCAAGATTGAACTATAACCGTGCACAGACGCACCCACCGGTGGTCCCTGAAATCGTGGGATGTTAATTGTAGAACGACTTGACCTGGTGTTTATTGTCGTAGGCCCCCCCCCCTCCCGGTTGTGGAACTCCCCTACTGGTGCCCCCCCACCCCACCGCCCCCCAGTTGTGGAAGTCCCCTACAGGCGACGGAGCTTTGGCGAGCGGGCTATTGCAGTGCATCAGTGACCGCCGCATTATTGGTCAACCCAACTGTTTTACGTTGACGTCGGTCAGGATGAGCGAGCTAGAAACTGGCTGCTGCACCCCCAGGTATCATCGCCTGGACGTTGTCATGGCGGCAGTGGGTTTTTGGGCTGCAGTGGGTGTGCTGTGCTCTGCACTCCGTGTAGGATGGGAACACCCCGCTGCTGCTGGCGATGAGCAGCGGCGACCTGACCATGGTTGAGCTGCTGCTGAGGCACGGCGCCAATGTGGACAGCAGGAACCATGCCCGGCGGTAGGTCCCATTTTCACCCACCCACGCACCCACCCACGCACCCACCCACGCACGCACCCACCCACGCATCCATCCGCCCACCCATGCAACCACCCACGCATCCACCCACCCACGCACCCACTCACCTACGCACCCACCCACGCACCCACCCACGCATCCACCCGCCCACCCACGCACCCACCCACGCACCCACCCACGCACCCGCCCACCCACGCACCCACCCGCCCACGTACCCACCCACCAGAATCGCACTTCCACTTTACCGCCTCAATCACAAACATCCCAGTCGGTGCGATACGAAGTGAAAAACGCACGCGTGTAAAGTTCTTGATTGGCCAATTTTATCGTGAGAATCCACCTTTAAACTTAGCGGTGAGCTGAAACGGCAGGAGCAATGATGCTTGCACGTCGTCCATGATGCTCATCTGAAGTGCTCGGAGTACATTCTTACGTCAGGTGGTAGCGGGGAAGGGTCTTATGACAGAAAATTTGACCAGATCGTGTCGTGGCCAAGGCAAAACAAATATTGAATCACAATTTTTATTATAATTATCCACTGCTGTTGTTTACATAGCCCATAATATTTAGTTCACGGCAACTGTTATCCATATCACTCCGACGTATGCTCTCGTACAAAACGTGACGAGGACAATCCTTTCCTGATGTTTGCATCTGTCCGTATTGCATCCTTGCCAACGCAGCTTTGTAACGCAATCGTTGCCACCCGGCGGTCTACGACGCCGCTCCCCCCCCCCCCCTTTTTTTTAACGTGAGCAGGACCCCGCTGATGATCGCGGCGAGCAACGGCGAGAACGAGATCGTGAAGCTGCTGCTGGAGCACGGGGCCGACGTGTCGTGCAAGGACGACAAGGGCTGGTCGGCCGAAGACCACGCCGTCATTCATGGGCACCACGCGTAAGTCACAGGGAGTTACGCCCCTCCCCTCCCGCCCCCCTCGGTTGTGGCGAGTACAAATCCCCGTGCGATACCAAGGGGGTCTTTCAAATATTGTGTGCCGGCTGACCAATCGATAAAACGGGTGTTTCGCTGGAGGGTTGTGCCGCCACAGATTCGTGACGTTACCGGGCGCCGTGGCGCCACAACGCCTCTGCACGTGGCCACTCATCTGCGCATTTTTTTCCTACGTCTCTCTCGAAGCCGTGTCTTTACGTCTCCTCGAGCCATAACCTCCCCCGCGAGCCATCGCTTGGCGGGTCACCGCAAGAGCCGCTGGGTGCCCCATCTGGCCTGCGGCCCGCCAGTTGCAGAACCCGGGTAGACAGGGACTCCTCGACTTACGAACGAGTTAGGTTCCACAGGTCCGTTTGTAAGTCGATTTGTTCGTAAGTGCCAACTTTACTCCCGTCGATTCCAAACACGTTGTACGGCGTGGACACTAAACACGGGGAATGGCTTTAAAAGTTGTATAATCTGCTGGAGATGTAGATGCCACTGGTTCTTCACTTTCTGCAGATGTAGATGCCACTGGTTCTTCACGTTCTGCAGATGTAGATGCCACTGATTCTTTACGTTCTGCAGATGTAGATGCCACTGGTTCTTCACGTTCTGCAGACGTAGATGCCACTGGTGCTTCACGTTCTGCAGATGTAGATGCCACTGGTTCTTCACGTTCTGTAGATGTAGATGCCACCATCATCACCTATTGCGCGGCGGTTAAACTTACGACTCTCGGTCCGAGCAGGCAACTGGACATACGGACAGGTTTGATCGTATCTCTGAAAGTTCGTAAGTCTAATGTTCGTAAGTAGAGGAGTCCCTGTATAAATGAAAATCATGATGTCAATTGCTGTCACTGCCTATTAACATCTCGCATTTCACCGGCATTGGTTTAAAGCATGCCTGACTGCTGCTGATGAGACACTGAATGGCGAAACCAGTCTGGAGTTTTGCTTGTGTTGAACCAATGCTTCTGAGAAGTTGACTCCCAGAAGGCTGTGCGGCCGATAGGATATGTAACAAAAAATTCAGTTTGTATGTGGACAGCCACATGGGAAGTAGGCAGATTGTCGTTTGATTGACTTTGTCACTTGTATTGTGCTTTGACGTGGCGATTGTTCAGTGCTTGAGTTACAGGTCTTGAAAGCCATTGTAGCAGTATAAAAATCTATCTATAAAAAATAGCACAATTAAAAAACCCTGCTATACGAAACATTACTTTTAAAAGTAGACTTTCTAAGTATGTCTAAAGCTTAAAGTGCATTGCATTCATGTGAACGTTTCCGTTTTTGAATTCGCCTCACATTTTCTACTGCTTGAACCGAGTGTTGCGGTGTGTCACTTCTACTGCGTTGGAATTTTGTGCCGAGGAAGTGTGAGTCTGCAACGGGGCATTTGTTGACGGGGAATTCTGACTGAGTTGGTGCAATTTCCGCTTCCTGTCCTGCCCTTGGCACAGGGGTCAATGCAGGGAGACGCGTCTGCTCCAAAGCTCGGCTCGCCACATCGCCGAGTCCTCGCGGCAATGCCTGCACACGGTGTAGATTAGTGAGTCAAAAGAAGGTGGTTAATACGTCAGGCCTTAAAGCCTTAAGCTCGCAACACCCTTGCCAAAATACAGTAACGTAATCTAAAGCCTTCTGTCAATTCACACCTGGACGAAGGCCTTAACTTAGCTTTCTAAAGATGCTGCACATAGCAACAGTAATAATAACTTCAACGGCTGTTCACTCGCTCTGGAAAAGAGAGAGAGAGCGAGTCGGACGCGCGAGGAACCACAGCCGAGTGAGACAGGCAAGCCAGGTAGTGAGCCCCCTCAAGCTCTGGAGTCCTCTATATATATGAAAGTGTTAATCGGCCATTTAATGAGGTTCTACGTGTTGGAGGAAACTGGAGCACCCGTAGGGAAACACACGCGCGAGGGGGCAGCGCTCAATCTCGTACAAGACGAGACAGGTGGAGTCCGCATTCGCTGTACTGCGTTCCCCTGGTGGGCGAGGCTATGGCACCTCGACGTCCACGGGAAGGGAGTTTCACAACATTTGTGCGGTGGTCCTCCAACCCTAGCTGCCTCCACAGCGCTGGGTTGCAGGCGACGTGCGTAGCCAGTACGACATGCGTAGCCGACCGGCTTACCCGCGTCTGTCTTTGCATATGCAAAAGAAAATCACTCCAGGAACAGGATTTTATATATATAAAGATGACTGTTAATTATGATTTTTAAATCCTTTATATTAAGTTCACTTGCTTGCTTGCTTGCTTACGACCGTGCAAATCTTTCGGTCGTTTTTTAACCCACTTCCCGTGATCCAATTGAGCTGACATTTTGCACACAGACTCGTTGTGCGTGACAATGTATTTTCGTGAAATTTTTTTTCCAAAATTTTACACTTTTTAGGAAAAAATAAATTATATTTAATTACCAATTGCTTAATGGTGGTAGGCATTCATCTGACCCATAGGTGGCAGCCATCTCAAGCCAGAGGACGAGAGGACTCTAGCCGCCACGCATATAAAGGATTTATAGTGAAAAACTTTGTTTTTACAGGTTAATTTTTAATTTGTTGCAATCGCTCTGTTTGCCGTTCTGTGTGCTTGTGGTGCGTTTGGCAGGTGCTCTCACCTGATTGGGGAGCAAGGGGTCAGGGCTGCACAGTCACGGGTGTCTGTGGGCAGCACGGGGAGGGGCCCTGTCCTGCCAGAGCTGGGGGCTGCCGCTCGCTTGGGCATTCCCGCGCTCAACAAAGGTGCCTCGTGATTTCAATTGGACGAGTTGTTTGTCCTTTACTTGAGGCCAATATATTTTTTTTAGGGTCGGGCCACGTATTGATCTGCCATTGCTGTACACTCGTACATGTGTAGTGGGTTCCACGGAGGCACACACCTGAACTTGGAGGCAACACGTTTATTATAACACCCCCAACAGGGTTTCTACATAAACGTGCACAGGTACTAGACTCCAACAGGGTAACTACTTTAACGGGTCAGGTCAGCAACACGTGCCTGATCCACGATGCCGAGCGTAACGACCGAAGACCGACAAGACGTAGCACCGAGGGTTCCATCCCAGCAGACAGCCGCAATTGCTCTCGGGACCTCCCTTTTATGCCTCGCTCTGCCCTCTGGATCTCAGCAGAAGGTTCTCGACCAAGCACCACGTGTCCCTCAAGCCGCCACCCTTTGGGCCCCCTCGCTACAATGTCCCGGTCACGTGCCCTCTCGGGTTTCACCCAGACTGTCACGTCCTCACGTGCCCTCTCTCTGACCGTCACCAGAACCAGGCCCCCTAGGGCAGCTCATATGCCATACCTACTCTGGTGTCAGAGAGGTTCAAGACACGCAGTTCCACCCTTGTGACAGCAGCTGGCGCTAAACACAATAGTCCAATTACGTCACTGCACATGTGACAAGTTTAATTTGTTTGGCTTATAGCGGGTGTTGGGAACATCTTGTGACGTATATTTGGCTAAGTCATTATGTCGCCTAAAGCATATATCTGTGGGCTATTTGTAAGTAATGCGTTTAGAGTATTTGGCTGCTACAAACTTCCATATAATAAGCCACTTCGTTAAGCTATCATTTGTGGCCAGGCCGCTTCTGAAAAAGATCTCTATAGGTCTCAATAGGCCTTAACCTGATAAATTAATATAGTTTAGGTTGAATGGTATACACACTGGAATTTTACCGCAGATGTTTGAAAGCGTGTCCTGTCTAACTGTCAACTTTGTTTTAATTTCAGCGGGAGAAGATGCTTCTCACACAGAGACATTGAGCAGGTACCAGAGTCCTCCTGAACCTATTGCAGTGTGCGCCTTGTATAGTATTTCGTCCATTGCTGTTGGTGCGATGGTTTGGATTTTCAGGTTGAAATCTCCTAGTTGATTTTATTCTTACCCAGGGAGAACTCAATTGCCAAGGATAGTCCCGTGTGCAAGAGGCTATCCTCGCCGCTTGAGTTCCACATCCTGGAGTGGATGTGATTACTGTCGGCATCGATGCCATTTCAGTTGGTGTTACGCATAATGAAGTTGTTTTTTGTCATTGCCAATTTTCCTTTGTGCTCTGTCAGCGTCTGCGATGACAGGGCCTTGGTGAAATCCCCTGCACTTGTGTCTTTTCCGTATCAATTCTCTTGTTCATTTTGAAACCTCTCTGCTCCATGTCCTTCAATTGCGTCCATCCGCACCTCCGATTAGCGCGGCCGGCTGACGTACGGCGCGAAAGAGGTTCAACGTACATACCTACAAGGAGTCTAATTCATACGTTGTCAGAAAACTCTGCACGAGTTGGGTGCCGCGGTTCTCCCGATGTTGCCGTCGAAAGTTTGTCCAGCGACGAGTGCGCGAGGTTCCCGCGGGCCGCTGAGTGAGCGTCGACGCTTCCCCCCTGCAACCCTGGCCGCTGCTGTCGCTTTGCCCTGCAGGACCGGGGCCACGGCGGAGGAAGCCGCAGGCTCTGTGTTCCAGTGACGACGAGGACGTCCTCGACTTCAGCCCAAAGGTTTTTGTTTTTAAACTGCTACAAACGTTGCTGAGCCGCAAGCTCAAAGCACCAAAACGCCAAACGGCCGCAACCAATGGCACTATCGACGTTGTAATGGACCCCCCACCCTACCTCCCCTTCCCCACCCAGCCCCTTGCCACCCTCCCCACCCAGCCCCTCCCCACCCTTCCCTCCCCACCCAGCACCACCCTCCCCACCAGCCCCTCCCCACCCTTCTCTCCCCACCCAGCCCCACCCTCCCCACCCAGCCCCCCCCCCACCCTCACCTCCCCTCCCCACCCAGACCCACCCTCCCCACCCCAGCCCCTCCCCACCCTTCCCTCCCAGCCCCACCCTCCCCACCAAGCCCCTCCCCACCCTTCTCTCCCCACCCAGCCCCACCCTCCCCACCAAGCCCCTCCCCACCCTTCTCTCCCCACCCAGCCCCACCCTCCCCACCCAGTCCACCCTCACCTCCCCTCCCCACCTAGATCCACCCTCCCCACCCAGCCCCTCCCCACCCTCCCCACCCAGCCCCCTCCCTCCCTCCCCACCCAGCCCCTCCCTGCACGACGGACGGACACAATAATCCCCTGTGGGCTGGTGGAACTAGTGGGTTCCTACCAGTTTAAATGTAAGCTTACAAGCACAATAACGTACTCCAATATGTTTGTGGTATATAACATATACATTTATCCTGTGAAACTGCAAAGTAAGCATACACATTTGTGCTGTAATACTGCAAAGTAATAATGTTATACGGCATTCGGTGATTCCGTTGAACTCATGTTGAGCTTTCTCTTACAGAAACCTTTGAAACCTGACTTATCTAAACTCCTGTCAGTAAGCCAAAGGTTGGAAAGTGAAGGTAAGTGTGCACTGCGTTTATAGTTAATAAAAACGAATGTTTTGCCGTGGTTTTTGAAATGTATGCGTTCCTCCTCAACGCACCCTTGACCAATGCAACGTCGCTAAGGCCGCGTGCCATTGCGGCTATGGAAGCCTTGTGTCGAGTGCTCTCTCTCCCCGCAGTTCCATCCCCCCTCTCGATCTGAAGCTAAACGGTGCCACTTTTCTGCAATTTCCCCTCCGCTCATTTCTGGCAGCAGCCTGTTTCTGAACACAAGTTGCCGCTTCTGTTTTTACGTGACAATTATCGAGCCATTATGATCTTGCCCCGTTGCATCCGCACATAGATTCCAAAATACGAAAAAGGATTCTAGATTTGAAGCTTTCGTGACTGCAAGGATTCATACTCTTAGGCTTTTTCGGTAAAGTCACGTAGGTAAAAAATTAAAATAAAATTCATAGAAGTAATAATAGAAATAAAATGAAATAATATAAAATACTAATTATTTTATTTCTATTATTACTTCTATTAATTTTCTTTTTTACCTACGTGACTTTACCGAAAAAAGCCTAAGAGTACGAAAAAGGATGACATCAGAAGAGTTTGTGATGTCGTCTCGTTTGTAATTAATGTTTTAATTAAAAAAGTAAATGCAGCTGAGGCCTTGGTGTCCCCAGACTCCAGACCAGGCCTGCTCTACTGATCCGGCATCGTTGAGATGCTAGGTTAAATCCCTGGCTTCTGGGTTTTTCTCTCTTTCGCTCATGAGGTCCATAATGTCTGTGTCGGAGACACCGAGATCCCGGATTGGAGTTTCAAAATCCGGGGGTCAGGATGCTCCGAGGCTCTACCCCCCGCCCTCTCCTCTCGTCTGAGCAGCCCGGCCCATCTCGCTAACCTCACACCAGGGATCCGGCCAAGCCAATGTCACCTGAGTATAACTGCGGGAGTGGGGAAATAGGCCCCTTGAATTCAGATGTAGTGGTTCTGTGATGTCATTTCCCGGGGCTTTTTCATGACACGGTGGTGCACTGCTCAGTGGCGGAGCTGCGGGCGGACATGTCTTCATCTCTCAATGGTACTGCCGGTGCCGCAATTGCAACGTAATCAGGGCGGGGCGAGGTGGGGGAGGGAAATAAACTTGCTCGGCTATGAACATCTGACAAATAATATATATTAGGTAAATAAATGAGGTTGAAATTATGAGATGTGTACATAACTGAGGTTCGTTATTAATTAACACAACAAATATCAATCAGTCCAGTATTATTATTACGATTAAACATTTGCTTGTCCTCACCACGCAGATATTTTCCACCACTTTGGCCCTTTCTCTTTGCGTTGCCAACGATGCATCCGCCACCCACACGTGACCTCATCCAGCCAAATCTTGACTTGAAGCTTTCGTGACTGCAGGAATTCATCTTCTTGGCTCTTTTTCGAAAGACCCACGAATACTCATCCTGCCAATCACAGCTGCTGTGAGTTGCCGATCGAGCTCCAGCTTCGATTCCGAAGTGTTGCAGCCTCTGTTACAAGCGTCAACACAGATATGAACGCCGTTTTAAGCAGCTGTAATGCAGAAAAGTTGCACTGTTTAATTTCACCTCTACCCATTCGATAAAAAGCAGGCCTCATCGCCGTTCTATAGAATCCCTACCTGTCGTTGCTTTACGCATATTTCATTATTAAAGCGAGTCATCGTCAGCATGGCCATACGTTTACAACCCCACCGGATCTGTTAAGTTCGTTGCGAGTAGCAATTTTTCCATTCGTGCTTATCCCAGTTGTTCCCTCCCTATCCCTTAGGCTCTTCCGACCCCTATCCAGTCCCTGAGCAGGAGTTTGCCGGAGAGAGCGGAGATGAGAGGAACGTGTCTGCACGCCCGCTCCCCCGCGCCTCCCCTCCCAGCTCCTACAGCCGTGTCCCTCGCCCTTCCTCGCCCGCACCCCGGCTAGATCCCTTCGCTCGTCCTGGTCGTCTCAAGGTAACCTACCCCCCGCCCACCCATCCCGTAGTGTCTCCCTCCGGTGCCCTGTCCTCCCCGGAGAGCTTGATTGGATTAGAGCGGTGAGCGGTGATCCTTTTTTTTCCCCTCGGCGGTACGTTTCCCTCTCGGTGGTGCCGAATAATATAAAACGGTGGTTTCGTCGTCAGTTGAAGAAGGAGATGAAGCCGAAGAGGAAGAGGAGGAGGAGAGAAGTTGGGATGAGTCGGAAGATATTGAGGATGAAGGAGAGAGCCACACCGTGGACGATGACGATTATGATGACGGCGACGATGTTGATGTTAGTGATGATGATGTTGAGGGTGATCAGGAAGAGGATCGTGAAGATGCCTGCTTCATGGACGTCAGTGACAGTACCGAACGTGAAGACAGTAGTGCAGAGGACGACCCCGTTGTGTGTGGAGAACGTGTTGAGCGAGAGAATACTGGAGGACGTGGACTTGGGGGAGCGAAACGCAACTGTCGGCCCCAGCAGAGCTGTGACGAACTGGAAAGTGCCAATCCAAGCAGCAGCAGCGACGACTTTACAGAGGAGGATTGTGGACGTGAGGAAAGTGAGGTAGCGGCGCAGGACTCCGATGGGCGTGAATCTCCAGATACGTGCGTCGAACGCGCGGCGGATGAGAAGGCGGCACGACACCCCCGAGGCGACGGGGATAGCGAGGCCACAGCTGAAGGAGACGTTGGGGCGGAAACACGTTCAGCGGTGCACACAGAAGCGGAACCGAGCTGCCGCGTGGAGGAGGTTGGGGACGTGGACAGGCACCACGCTGCAGAAATGACAGAAACTGAATTGGAAGGGGAGTTGGGCCAAGCGGGATGCGACGGCGTAGAGGCAAGGGATCGGGACACGAATCGGGAGGCTCACGGTGTGGAAGGAGGATGTAGAGGGGCAAAGGTAGCGGAGGAGAAGCACACTTGCGATCGGTCTGAGGATGGGCGCGGTGGGTGCAGGGAGCACGCTGCGAGTGCAGCTCGTTCGTGCGGTAATAGGGAAACGTGCGTGCCGGGTGGGAGCGCGGAGGAGATGGGTCATGGCGATTGGGATGACGCACAGGAAGCGGCTTTCGAGGGTGACGAGGATGGGCGCTCGGACGAGTGGCAGAGTGAACGTGCACAGGAAAAACACGGAGGGAGAGAACCACGTCGCGGCGGGAGACGTACGGCCGAGGAGCAAAGCGGTGACGAGGGAGCAGCGGTAGGATCGGTCGTCAAAGATGACGGCGCAAGGAGGGAGTCGGCTGGAGATGACCTCGGTGTGGTGGGAGAGGAACAGGACCTCGTCAAAGAAGAAATCGAGGATTTGGAAGGAAATGGCCGTCGAGAGGAACTACGACTGCCCAGAAGAGGGGAACGAGATGATCGCGAAGGAAGATGTTCTGAAGAGCGGAGTGTGCATGTCGTCGGAGAGGACATTAAGATGGCAGGATCAGGCGTTGCAAATATGGACGCAGAGCAGTGTAGGGGTCTCGGCGAGATGTTTGGTGAGCGTCTTGCAAATGAAGATGACATAAACCACGAGGAGGAACTCCTCGTCGAGGATCGGAAGGAGGAGGAGGAGGGACGCGCGCGTGGGGACGGGGAAGGCCGTGGGCGGGGTGGGAGCGACGGGGAGAGCGATGGGGACGGGCAGGAAGTCGCAGGATCGGCTGAGATCGAGGAAGTCGTAGGGTCGGCGGGGATCAAGGAATTAGCAGAATCAGCAGGGATGGAAGAAATCACAAAATCATCAAGCATGGAGGAAATCACAAAATCAGCAGGGATCGCAGAATCAGGGATGGAAGAATTCGCAGAATCAGGGGTGGAGGAAATGGCAGAATCGGGGATGGAGAAAATCACAGGATCGGCGAGAATCAAGGAATTAGCAGAATCAGCAGGGATGGAAGAATCAGGGATGGAAGAAATTGCAGAATCAGGGATCAAGGAGATTGCAGAATCAGGGATGGGGCGAATGGCAGAATCAGGAATAGGAGTAATCGCAGAATCAGGGATTGAGGAAATTGCAGAATCAGGGATGGAGGAAATTGCAGAATCAGGGATTGAGGAAATTGCAGACTCAGGGATGGAGGAAATTGCAGAATCAGAAATCGAGGAAATTGCAGAATCAGGGATGGAGGGAATCGCAGAATCAGGGAAGGAGGGAATGGCAGAATCAGCAGGGATAGAAGAAGCACGCGGCGGTGCGCAAGTCTGGCAGGACGCTCCTGGCATGAGCTCAGAGGAGCTGCTGGAGATGGGAGCGGCGTCGTTGTGCGACGCTTCAAGGCACCCAAGTGGGACGCGTCAGGTACGGTGCTAGCAGCACGGGTTGCGCAAGCGGCTCATCGGGGCGAACCGAACGCAATGGCGAGCGCGTGTCGCGTCACCGTCGCCGCCTCTCGCGTTCTAACCACCGTGGGAGCGGCGTCGTTGGATAATCCTCTCGGTGCCGTTCTCGGTGGAGGTTCGCATTCGATTCGAGAATCGTTTTTCAACGCCGCGTGTGCAGCGTTCGTCAACCTCCACGCAGACAACAGACTCGGTCCCCTTTTGTTCTACATAGCAGAGCCGGCGACGCTCTCCTAGACGAAGGTGGGTCGTCTCCGTCTTGAGCTCTTTAAAGCCGCGTGTCGCTGCGTGTATTAGTGGCTCACCTGGTGAGGGTAACGCAGCGTGTAATTGTCACTCACCTGGTTAGGTGTAATGCCGCGTGTAATTGTCATTAAACTGGTGAGGGTAACGCCAGGTGAAACTCACCCGGTGAGGGTAACGCCGCGTGTGGCTGTCGCGCTTTGTGATTGCTGCGGCGGCAGGCGGGGACGAGGAGGAGGACGAGGAGGAGGATGTTGCTGGGAGCTGCAGCGATGAGTC